TTGGTATAAAAACAGAGTGAGACATTTCATTCTTCTTCAATATGGTTGGTTCAATCCAGTGTAAGGCTTTCTGTTTGCTTGTTGTCAGGTAAGGTGAGACCAAGGCTGTGGCTTTCACCTGCACAGGTTGCATTGAGAGTGACCTCTCATATGAGTCCTCTGTTGCGGGACATGACGAGGACTCCTACTGAAGGGCTTGCCATGGACTTGTGATTCCTGAAGCCTTCCTAACACTGGCCACATCCTCAGGCGCATTCCAGTATGACTTGTGAAGCTGAACGAGAGAGCTACTCCTCGGGCCTTTTCCACAGCAATCACATCCCCATGGTTTCAGATTTCTCAGATGTAATTACTTGATGTTAGAACTTTTTCCATATGACTAGATTTTTTTGGGGTCCAGTATGAATTCTCTCAAAACTGACTGAATCAGACCAGAAGCCTTTCCTGCTATGGCCATAATTCCTCATATTACGTCTGTTTGAGTCATCATGTTGAAAACTCATGAAGAGGTCTAACTCCGTTCAGTCTCTGCATGGTAGTCTCCCATGTGTAGGGAAGGATTTCCTTCTCTTCCAACAAAATTCTCATGTTTTTTTTCCTACTAATGTTAGTACTCCTTTGAGAGTTGCCACATTCATATTTGTAGGGCTCACCTTCTGCTTAATTTCTTGACAAATCAAAAAAGTTAAATGTCCTGCAAGCTTTCCTACAATCATGACCTTCAAAACAGTGTCTTCACTCCATTGCTTTCCTAAGGGTTAAATCTAGATTATGCGTCAAGTTTTCTACGCAAACCACACATATGGCAAAACCTTCTTTAAAGAACACTGTGTGATGGTTGAAGATCTGAGTACCATCAAATATTTCTCCACATATGCCCTAGCCAGTTTTGATCGGTGGATAGAGCATCGGCCTGCAGACCAAAGGGTCCCGTGTTAGATTCCAGTCAAGGGCATGTACCTTGGTTGCAGGCTCCTCCCCGATGAGGGCCCTGGTCAGGGCTCATTCAGGAGGCAACCAATAGATTTGTTTCTCACACATCAATGTTTCTCTCTGTCTTTTCCTCTCTTTTTCACTTTCCCTAAAAAATCAATGGAAAAATATCTTTGGGTGAGGATTAACAACAACAAAACAACGACAAAATATTTCTCCACATTCCTTATCTTCACAACATCTTTTCAAATCAGCACCTATATGAAAAGGAATGCCCTCTGTCTCAAGTGTTTACCATTTCCTTCTACTTCCACCAACACCCATGCTGCCATTGTTGCAATCATGGAGAGCCAGAGGGGCATGTGAGGTGAGCTGAGCTGTGTCAGAAAGGTCTGGTTTCCGCTCATTTCCCCTCCTCTGCATGAGCTGTAGCACAGCTATAGCAGTGTTGGGAGAAAGTGACCACTGCAAGAGATGGCTGTCTCCTCTAACAGTAAAGCATGCCATTCCAAACACCTATGATTCCTATGCTTTTAATACATTGCCCGGGCCTCCTGAGGTTCAGAAAGGTGCACTCAACTCACAAACTTCTAAGGCCCCTCTCATTCATAACTCATTAACAGAATGGGTCAAGACATGGGACAATTCCAAACACTTGAATCTAGGTGAAAGTTACTAGGGAGTTCTTTGTACTCTTCATGTAACTCTTTTGTTTAAAAAATTATTATTATTATTATTATTATTATTATCATCATCATCATCATCATTTATAAGTGCCCTTGACAGGTATCGAACGCGGGACACTTTGGTCCACACGCTGACACTCTATCCAGTGAGCCAAACCAGCTAGGGCAAAAAAATTATTTCAACATTATAAGAAAAACTAAACCTCTATTTCTACCCTTCAAAAACCTATGCCTTAACCAGACTTCCCCGTGTCACTGCACAATGCCAAAAGTTCTTCATTATTGTATTTTAAGAATGAGATACAAAAAGAACTTATGTGGTAAATACACATGCAACATATACTAGACACAGGAAGTTCCTGGAAGCCTTTGCCTGTGGGGGATTGCCGGCAGGTTCCTCACTTGCCCCCTTGGTCAGTCACTCGTCCAGCCCACTGCGTCCACCTCTGAATGGGGAGAAGCACCATGCCAGCCCCACGACTGCTCTCTCAGGCCCAGTACCATCACCTCTTCCCCAGATGCTACCTCGGCCACGGCTTCCAGCTGCCTACCACCGTTCTTTCTTCACAAGCCCCCAGAGTGAGCTGTGAAAAGCCACATACACCTCATTGAAAATCAAACCACCTGCAGAGCGGGCCCTGTGCACCTGCTGAACTTCAGCTGCATGTCAATTCGTGACAGTTACCTGCCCCCTGCCCCCAATTGGGTGACATGTTGTTCCCCGAATATGGTGCGCTGCTACAGTGTTTTGGACAGGTTCAAGCCTTGGACTGAAGAGAGGGCACAGTCCTCTCATTGCCACGTGCAAGTCCTAGCTTGGAGGGCAGAGCCTTCCCAGCACAATTAGCCAACAGCTATAGCTGTAAGCTTGAACCTGTGGTCCAAACACGTGGCCCCCACGTGCCTGAGTGATAGAGTTCAGGTGCATGTAGTTGAGTAGGGTTGAAACCAACGAGAATGTTGTAAACATCTTGACCACGCCCCTACTTTGCCTCATGGCATCTGCTATAAAATAAAGACACGGCTTGTGGGCGCTGTCTCTCTCCATCAGAGAGGGCAGCGTCCTCCGAGACCCAGCTTTTGTTCTCATGTCTGTCTTCTAAGTCTTTCATCACCCCCACTCAGGTTCACCCTTGGCCATGCTGGCGCGGCACACCCGAATATGCCAAGCTCCAACCTGTCACCCCAAACTCTGTCTCCATGCCTGGAAGCTCTCTTCACCATCACTCTTAAAAGTCTGCAGAATCCCACCTACCCACCCCACCCCCGGAATCAGCTTAAATCTCACCCCACAGTGTCCACTACCACCTCCTGTGGTCCATCCCCACGCTCCCTTTACGCCAGGCCCTTTCCCTCCAGACGCACCACTATTTATATGAGCACGGTCCCATCTGTGCAACTTGTCTGCAGAAGCTACAAACTACCAGACCACAAAGTCCAAGACGGCACCACCAGAGTGATTAGTGCCTTGCACAGGGCACAGGAGGGCTTCCACGGTGCCGGGAGGTGAAGGGACTCTGACATCAGAGGAGCTAGGCACCGTCCCTCAGGGACACACACAGACAGGACCTGATGGCAGAGGAGCCAGGCGCTGTCCCCTGATGCCTGGCCAGGGCGAGTGTCCTGCTGAGCCTCCTACACATGGTTTCTGCGCTGGCACAAGCCCTGATCTCATCCTCCCTGGCAGCTGGAGTCAGGAAACCCCCAGGTCAGGCTGAAGTGCACTCAGGTGAGGACTGAAAACAAACAAACAAAAAACCTAGTTCATGATAAACAGGGTGTTTCCAATAAGTGGAAGAACCTAGACTGAAAATGGGCACTGAAAGAACACATGCCCTACGCAACACAACATGAAGAAATGCCAGACAAGTAATACAGCTAAGAAAAAACCCAAAGAAACTAGGAAACAAAAATACTTGTACAACCTACCTATGTATGATATAGAGCCTAGAACAGGAATAAAAATAAATAAATTCTAAAACTTATTTTTTTTACTCCTCACCAGACAATATTTTTCCCATTGATTTTTTAGAGAGAGTGTAAGGGAGGGGGACAGAGAGAGAAACATCGGTGGGGGATCAAACTTGCAGCCCAGACAGGTGCCCTGGACTTGGAATCGAACCTGCAGCCCTTTGGGGAATGGCCAACACTCTAGCCACTGAGCGCACCAGCCAGGGCTTAAAGAATTTTACGCAGCAATTTGTTGCTACCACTTTCAGCTTACATCTTGGTTGATTCTCAAGTTCCATTTCTATAAATCCTACCTACAAGAAAAACCAACTTCAATGTGCCAAAAAATAAAATGTATACAAGGAATTTTTTTTCCAACAACTTGAATGTCCATCAAGCGAAAAATTAAATATGAACTATACTGCATCTTTTAAAATGAAGTAGACCTGTATTAAGAACAACCCAAAATATAAACATATACAAATGTCCCTCGACTTAGGGATGAGTTATGTCCCAATAAACCCATCCTAAGTTGAAAATATCCTAACTTGAAAATGCAGTTAACCCAGCCTACCTTAGACACACTCAGAACACTTCCATTAGCCCACAGCGGGGCAAAATCATCTAACACGGGTGGGGAACGTCTGGCCCACAGGCCTTATCATTTAGTCTGGCCCTGTCAAGGCATTAGGGGTGAGTTCATCAAATGTTTGACCAAATGTAGCAGGCTAGTTTTTAAGTGGATAATTTTGTATGGCCTGAGAATGATTTTATAAGTATCTAAATGGTCCCTGGCAGAAAAAAGGTTCCCCACTCCTGATCTAACACAAAGCCTGCTTGATAATAGTGTTGAACATCTTAAATTGTTAAATACTATACTGAAAGCACCACCATAAAGTTAAAAACTTCTTTCAAACTATAGCTGAGTAGGGGACAGAATTCACATACATATATGTAAACATAAAAAGAACAGGCTGGTGTTGTTCAGTGATTGGAGCAGCGGTCGCCAACTGGTGGTCTGTGGATTAGAGTGTCTTGAGGGTTCGATTCCTGGTCAAGGGCACACACCTGGGTTGCAGTTCACTACCCACCCCTGGATAGGGCGTATGTGGGAGGCAACCAGTTGATGTCTCCCTCCCTCTCTCTGAAAAGCTATGGAAAGAATATCCTCAGGTGAGGATTAATAATTTTTAAAAAAGTCTGGCCAGGGACACACCCCAGTTAGTGGTGGTTACATGAGGGGAGAGCAGTCGACAATGATTGGAGCCAACCGACCACCAGCACCAGGTTCACGTTCAACCAAGCAGCACACCCTGACCCTGAGGCCCGAGGAAGAGGCAGCGTGTCTGCAGACACTCACCCCAGCACCCCGCCCAGTTCCCTGTCCAGTCAGTCCATTCCCTGCCAGGACTCCGCGTGCCTGGCTCTCACCTGAAGAGGTGTCTTGAGGAACTCCTCTCTCCACCGACCAGAGCTCTTCCTCCTCCTCTAACCGAGACACCACCTCTGGCTTGGAAAGCTGATATTCTGCCCAAGGGAAGAGAGACAGGACTTGGGGGTCGGCGTTCGGAAGAAAATGCTTTCCTGCTGTGGCACCTGGTCTCCTAGAATGTGACTTCGGCCTAGGGCAGTGATGGTGAACTATGACACGCGTGTCAGAGGTGACACGCAAACTCATTTTTTTGGTTGATTTTTCTTTGTTAAATGGCATTTAAATATATAAAATAAATATCAAAAAGATAAGTCTTTGTTTTGCTATGGTTGCAAATATCAAAAAATTTCTATATGTGACACGGCACCAGAGTTCAGTTAGGGCTTTTCAAAATGCTGACACGCCGAGCTCAAAAGGTTCGTCATCACTGATCTAGGGCAGTGATGATAACCCGCCCACCGACTATGTCCGCTGCTGCTTGCTTTCCGGGACTCCCTTGCTGGTAAAGCTGGCAGTGGACCCAGTTCTGGCCAGCAAGTAATCAAGGGAAGTGTGTCAGAGGGGCCATAGGGCTTTTTCTCTTTTGCTAAATACAACAGCTGTGAAAACACCACCAACCGGGGCTGCCCATCCCCTTCGTCCTGCTTTTTAACAGGAAAGTGATGCTTGGAGTCATGATGCAGTTACCCAGTTACCGACCTAAGACTGGAAACGTTCACCCTAACCCCAGAGGTGGAAGGGGTCAGGGTCTGGGACGCCACCCCTGAGCTGCTGGACGCGGACACCATGCCCTCTGAATTCAAGGCCTCTGAGGGGTGGGCTAGGTGACGCTTGCTTCCGAAGTCACAGGTGGAAGATGCCCTTTACCCAGGGGTACAAAATAAAGCCCTCTCCCTCAAGCTCCGGGCCTCGACTCTTGCACTCTGACCCCTGCAGCCTGAGCCCAAGCAGACACACACAGGTCAGCAGCACCACAATCGAGCAGCAAAGCGCACATCTTTCTCGACGCGGAGGCTGGGCTTACCCACGGAGGCCAGGTTCCTGTAGTTCTCCAGCACCACCTGTCTGTACAGGGACTTCTGCTCAGGGTCCAGCAGTTCCCACTCTTCCGGGTCAAAACCCAGGCTCACATCTTCAAAAGCCACCAGTTCCTAAAAGCCACAGGTTCCTGTTCAGCTGGGGCGTGTCACCTTTCCGAGTGACAGGACGATGTGGGGGGCTGAGGACGGGCAGGCACAGGCTACCAGAGGACCGGAGAGGGTGCCCGGGGTCTCATCGGGTGTTCCTGCGTCCGCCTGACTCTGAGCAATCCCAAGCTGGGCTTCACTCAGGCCATGCGGCTGAAGAGGGTTTTTGATGTTCTTAGAGCCCAGTGGTTCTCAACCTTGGCTGCACATTAGAATCATATTGGGAATCTTTTTAAAATCCTGATTTCTGGGCCTCATCCTCCGGAAATTCTGTTTCTTTGTTATGGGGTGAGACCACAACATTAGGAACAAAGAAACAGAATTTCTGGAGGATGAGGCCCAGAAATCAGGATTTTTAAAAAGATTCCCAAGTGATTCTAATGTGCAGCCAAGGTTGAAAACCACTGTTAAAGCCTCCCAATTCCTTATGAATCTAAGGCCTAGATTCTAGGGTTTCCAACACTGGTGTCAGGGTGTCTGCCTCCTCCTAGGGGAGTCCCTGTGCTGAATCCTGGCACCCCAGCCGTCATCCCCCACCCCCTGCCCGCACTGCTTCTACTTCCTTCAACTGCCAAGGAGCCACCTTTCCTAGTGGCCGAGCTCATGTCACCTCTAGCTTTGCTGCTAGCGTGGCTGTTGAAATCTAAAAAAGAGTGTGATCTGCCTGGTGGGCGTGGCTCAGTGGTCAGGGTTGGATTCCTGGTGGGGGCACGCTCTGGGGTTTTCGGGCTCGATCCCCAGTGTGGGGTGTCAGGAAGCAGCCGATCCATGATTCTCACTCATCACTGATGTTTCCATCTCTTTCCCTCTCCCTCCCTCTCTGAAATCAATACAAATATTTTTAAGAAAATAAAAATTAAATATGAAAAATATAAATAAATAGGAGTGTGGTTGGCCTGGCCAGTGTGGCTCAGTGGTTGTGCATTGTCCCAGGAACCAAGCGGTCCCGGTTCGATTCCTGGGGGTTGCGGCCTGGTCCCCAGCAGGGGGCGTGCAAGAGGCAGACCACCCCTGGTTCTCTCTTATCACTGATGTTTCTATCTCTTTCCTTCTTCCTCCCTCTCTGAAATGAAGAAAAATATACTTAAAAATATGTATATTAAAACATATATATGCCCTGGCATCAGTGGTCAACAAACTCATTAGTCAACAAAACCCAATATCAACAGTACAACGATTGAAATTTCTTTTGAGAGCCAAATTTTTTAAACTTAAACTATATAGGTAGGCACATTGTTATTAACTTAATTAGGGTACTCCTAAGGCTTAGGAAGAGCCACACTCAAGGGGCCAAAGAGCCGCATGTGGCTCGTGAGCCGCAGTTTGCCGACCACGGCCCTAGCTGGTTTGGCTCAATGGATAGAGTGTCGGCCTGTGGACTGAGGGGTCCCAGGTTCGATTCTGGCCCGATTCCCAGTGGAGGGTGTGCAGGAGGCAGCCCATCAATGATTCTCTCTCATCATTGATGTTTCTAGCTCTCTCTCCCTCTCCCTTCCTCTATAAAATCAATAAAATATATTAAATAAAACCACAAAAAACATACACACACACACACACACACACACACACACACACACACACACACACACACACACTAGAGGCCTGATGCACGAAATTCATGCAAGGGGCCCCTGGCAGCCCCAGCTTTGTCAGGAAGGTAGTCCGGAAGGACATCCGGAAGGTCGTCCGGCTATCCAGTCTAATTAGCATATTATGCTTTTATTATTAATGATTATTATTACAGATGTATTAGAATCCCGGTTAGGGACCTCAACAGTAACACTCCCTTGGGAAGCTAAGCACCTGCGGCCCCTCCCTCCACCCAGCTCTCCCGCCCGGGCTCGAGGTCCCAGGGGCACCCCACCCCCGACCGCTCCCCCCTACCCCCCCATCCAGGCCCGGGTACCCTAAAACCTAAGGAGGCCTCTACTCACATGCAACCAGGCCATCGGAAGCCCGGAGGCCATGCCTTCCTCTCCGACGCGGCTGGCGGGAAAGGGCGGAGTCCTAAGAGGATGGAATTGGGAGGCGGGAGCAGCGTGAGGGCAACGCCCAGGAGCCCCGCCTCGGTCCCCAAACGGCCGGGTCAGCGGAAACGCCCCGAGGGGTGGCCTCCACCTGCCCCCAGGCGCGTGGACGCCGCTTCCCGCCGCTTCCCGCCGGACAGGGATCCCCTCCCACGTTCCGCATCTGGCGGGAGCCGCCTCCGGGCCTCACCGCCCACGCCCGGTGGGGGAGGGGGGAGGTGAGGAGAGGGCATTGGCCAGCCCACGCCCGCAGGGAGTTGCCTTCTTGCTCCGACCCCCAACACCCACCACAGCGCCCCTCCCAGCCCCGCGGCGGAGGCCCCGGGCTGGGCCGGCACCGCCGAGTCCCCGACGGGCGGAAGTTTCCCTCCGGACTCACCCGCGCGTAGTGCACAATGGCGCCCGTCGCCCCGAGGCCAAGTGCGTCAGTGCTCGGGCCAGGACTACAACTCCCAGACACCCCCGCGGCGCGCCGCGCCGGCCGCTCCCAGGCGGCGGCCATCTTGTCTGGGCAACTCGGGGCGGCCGACGAAGCCAAGGCGGCCAGGAAGAGGGCTTTCACCCGTGTGACCCCGGCGGTCCCGCCGGGCAAGGGGACACCTGCGGGGGAAGGGGTCTGTGCACGCCAGGCCGCAAAGTCCCAACCACCCCTGCGTGGGCGGCGACGCAGGCCGGGAGACAAGTGATGCCCGACCAGGAGGGCGCCCACGCGTGGGGTGAACCGGAAGTTGGAGCTAGAAGGAGCGGGGGGGGGGGGGAAGACTGTGCCGGAAGTGCTGACTGGGTTAGAACTAGTTGGTAGGAGACGAGACTGGTTGTTACGTCCTTTGGGGAGAAAGCAGGGCGCCTAGGGTCGGACGTGTAGGAGGCGTGGATAATTCTCGCTGTGGAGGAGGGCGGGGCGGGAACAGGAAGGGCAGCCTTTGGGGGGCGGGGCTAATGTCCACCAAGTTCCTAGGATCGGAAGAGGGGCAGGCCGGAAGCTTGGGGCGGGGCTAACGTCCTCTGGTTGAGGGAGCGACAGGACTGAGGTACGTACGCGGGGGCGGGGCTAAGTGTGCGTCCATGGCAAGACGGAAGGGGCGGGGCTTGCAGTGCTGGGGGCGTGACTAAAACCAACCCAAGGTCTCTTGGGGACTTTCCCCGGAAGCCTAGGGAGGGGCGGTGAGAAGGTTTGGGTTAAATGTGACACGGACACCGCGGTTCAGCGGTTCTCAACCTGTGGGTCGCGACCCCTTCGGCGCTCGAACGACCCTTTCACAGGGGTCGCCTAAGACCATCCTGCATATCAGATATTTACATGAGGATTCATAACTGTAGCAACATGACAGTGATGAAGTACCAACGAAAATAATGTTAGGGTTGGGTCACAACCTGAGGAACTGTATTTAAAGGGCCAGAAGGTTGAGAACCACTGCAGGTGGGTCTTGTCAAAGATAAACCAGAGCTGGGTAGAAGTTAAAGCGGTGAAAATAGATTTTTTAAAAATATATATTTTTGCTCTAACTAGTTTGGCTCAATGACTGAAGGGTCCCGGGTTTGATTCTGGTCAAGGGCATCCCAAGTAGGGGCCGTGCAGGAGGCAGCTGATCGATGTTTCTAACTCTCTATCCCTCTCCCTACCTCTCTGTAAAAAATCAATATTTTAAAAAACATTTGAAATAATTAAATTATTTTAAAAGTATATATGTTGATTGATTGATTTCAGAGAGGAAGGGAGAGCGAGAGATAAACATAAATGATGGGAGAGAATCACTGATGGGCTGCCTCCTTCACCCTCTCTACTGGGGCTGGAGCCCGCAACCCGGGTTTGCTGCGTCCTGACCTCCTGGTTCACAGGTCGATACTCAACCACTGAGCCACCCTGGCTGGGCTGAAAATAGATTATATTCCATAAAAAAATTATAACAAGAGAAGAGAGACTGCATTATTGAACCTGGCTTAATTCTGAGTACAACCAGAACAAGTGGGGTTTATTGACCAGGAGAAAGATTGGGATGGGATGGGGTTGGGGGGGCGGGGAGGTTGTTAGTGGATAGAAAGTGAGAAAGAGGAGATATCAAGTCGTTTGGGGGGAGGTGGAGAGGGTTCTGGTTGAACCCACCTGAAAGGATTCTTGCTAGGGGTAAGGCAGGGAGACCGGATGTCCCCTGGGGGACTATAATGAGGATGAGGAGTTTTATTAGATATCAAGGTTAGGGAATTCTTGACAAACTGAATTACCATGATTCTTGCTAAGATGATTCCAGAGATGAGCCTTGGTGGAGAAAGGGTGCAGAGGGACCTGCCTACAGTTTGCTTAAGCAAAGAATCCTTGTCCGAGGAGCCAAGGTGCCCATGTCTCGGAAATGGAGCAAGTCTGTCACTGCCAGGACATGACATACCTTCTTCTTCAGGCCCAACAGTCTTCTTCCTTGAGAGCCTGGAAAAAGTATTCTCTTGCCTTCCTCAGACTCCAGCATCCAGTGTTCTCTCTTCCTCAGGCCCCAGGATGCAGGCTCTGATGTTCTCTCTCTCGGTGCTTTGGACTCTCCCATGCTCCTCAGGCCCAGGACCTGGTCTCCTTGCAGATCTCAGCAGCCCTGTGCCTCCCTTGGGTCCTCTTGTTTACTGCCTGCTGGAATGTGTTTCAGAATTTATTAAGTCTTATGGCCGCCGTGGAGAGCATCCGCTTGCAGGCTGTGCATTGTTCATAGTATTGCAGTTACCCAGTAAGTCTGTCGATTTTTTTGCAGGTAAATATTTACTCGGAGACCATCCAGATGTCTTTGATCCTAACAGCATTTCTTTGGATTCTTTTGGCCATTATAGATAAAACACCATCCCCATTCCATGATAATGTAGTTTCTTCAGTTTCCATAGTTGGACTTAAAATGGATGATGTGATATTGCCCTAGGTCGCGTGACAGAGCCACGTTAATTACTCATGTTGTTTTATTTTGTTTTGGATTTGTCTGGGGATGCTTCCAGTGGTTCACCATCAAATTTGATGGAAGCTTTTAACATCTTAAGGAAGCAAACCCACTTGGAAGTTATTTTACTTATTTCTTTCTTTTTATATGATATAGAATAAAAGCATGACTTTAGATTAAAAGTGATGACAAATTAATATATTACTGAAGGTTGATTTATGAAAGCCACTTTAATACAACTTTTAATGATTAATTTTGTCCTTTTTTCCTCTTTAGCGAATTAAGCATGCTATTTAATTGACCATAATTTGATTATGTAAAAAAAAAGAGCATTTCTGAACAAATATTAACTATTATGCATGTAAGATGTCAAAAATGTTTTGCATACAGGGGCCCAATCCCTCGTTGAAAACCTTAAGGGCCAGTAGTATTTTGGAATTCACAAGTGTTTGGATTTCAGCAGGATAGTAAGGTAGATACATTACTCAATATGTACATACCAATAGGTCTGGGCCCCCTCTGGCCGTTAAACACTTGAATTTATGTGAAGGGTCACACTAGGTTCGAGAAAGACAAAGTTAGCTTGTTAGTTCAGGTAAATTTTGCTGATACATAATATATAAGAAGAAACTTTTCATTAGAAATGTATTTGGAATTTAGAATTGCAGCAAGGCGTTGTGGATCACATATGAAAATCGATGGATTCTCAATAATAGTTGTTTCACTCAATTGCAAAGTTCAAGTTGTACTTTTTCTTTTTTAATATGCTCCATGTAGTCAGACTCACATGTTTATTAAGATACTGAATTGTCAAAATATATTAACATTCTTCATATGCTTTCTTTAACCAATAGTCCACTGTCTGTTTAATTTAAATAACTTATGACTAAGAATAACAGATACAAAACTATATGCTGTCCAAATCACTATGGTAGTGGGTGGCATTCAGTTGAGTCATAAGCCAGTCATGTGACTGGATCATGAACTTGTGATTTGATCACCATTGTCTCTTGTTTCATTGCACAGAGCATCTCAAATGTCTTCACATGCAGAGGAATACATGTTACATTCATTTAAAAGGAGAAGAAAGGTACACCTTTCTGTCTTTAAAACATGAACCTCTAGGACCCTTCTTGGAACTCCTTGGAGCTTGAGAACTTCAGGTCGAAGAAGCAGGAATTAATTATTTGGCATTTTACCTGTACCATAACTATTTCCCAGAAAATATGCTCTGGAGTCTATTTATTACGGCTACACATTCCCTCTTCACCTGTTCTCCACACCATCAAAGATAAGATCAACTTTAAGATCATCCAGATCTGACGTAGCACCTGGGGGAAGGGGAAGACTCTGAGCTCAGAGCAGAGGCAGACCACACCGGGCTTCCAGAAATGGCACGTCTCCAAGAGGAATGTGGGGCGTCCACAGAACGCCGGACAAACCAGTCAGTCCGGTTTGGAGTAAGCCAGTGCTTGCCTTTGTATCCTGTGTCCCACAGTGTGTGTGTGGTTGTAAATAACTGAAAACCCAACTGATTTAAAGAACAGACAGTGTTCCCGCAGCGGAACAAAAAGTCTTTAAGTCGGTGGCTCCTGGTACTGGCTAAGCTGCCCACCAGTGTCACCGGGGACCAGACCCCTCCTTTCCCTCTTGTGATCCTCAGTGTGGGAATGTTTCATACTTCAGCCACTACGGTGTAGACAGAGGACAAGCCGGCCACACGCTCACTGCTGGTCCTGGACTCGAGCCATTTCAACATTTCTCTCAGCCTGATGAAACTCTGATGAAACTCTACTCCCATCTTTCTTCTTTTTTTAAAAAAATAACATTTTATTGATTTTTTACAGAGAGGAAGGGAGAGGGATACAGAGTTAGAAACATCGATGAGAGAAAAACATCGACCAGCTGCCTCCCGCACCGCCCCCACTGGGGATGTGCCCGCAACCAAGGTACATGCCCTTGACCGGAATCGAACCTGGGACCCTTCAGTCCGCAGGCCGACGCTCCATCCACTGAGCCACACCGGTCAGGGCCCATCTTCCTTCTTTTTTTCTTCTTCTCGGTTTTGTTTGTTTGTTTCTTTTCCATCTTTCTTCTTGAGTCTCTCTTGTTTATTCACAATATGCACGAATAGATATACAAAATGAAAGAAGGATCTGCCCTCAGCCATCTGAATGTAAACATTTCTGGATTTCCTGTTACCACAAGTCAGATATAAAACAGACCTAAATGCTTGCTGTAACTATCTGGAAGATAAATAACATGGGCACACTTAAACCCCACTGGAACATTTTAAAATTCAATGAGATTCCAGTAAACCAGGCAGAATAGCAAAGATACAGAAATCAACACATACACACAAAATCTCTATAACCTTCACAGGTATGTTGAAAAGGAGATTGCTTTCACAGTAGACTCATAAAAACATAGAATGCCTGGGATTGTGGGAAATGCCGGGGGCCTACAGGAAAATAAGTCTCTGGAAAGAATGACAAGTGAGCCTGCATGAACGAAAATGCTCACCACGTGCCAGAATGGGGAGGCCAGTCGTGAACCCCAAATTATCATTACGCTCAATGCGAGAGCAAACGGGATTCCATCCGGCCTTTTGGGAGCCTGGTCCTTGGACTTGGCTCTTTACTCCCTCGAATGTGAGGGAAGGAGATGATGGCCGTTGTTCACAAGAGCAGACAAGTTGGATTCAAACTCATCTCGAGGAGAAACGTCCCCAGCAACTACTGGTTTGAAAAATGTTCCTTGTCATTTTGCTAATAAACAAAGCCATCAGTAGCACACAGTTATAATCACAGGATGGTTTTTTGGAGGTGGCTGGGGGGTTCATCTTGTACATCAGCAAGATGGCACCACTGTTTTGAATTGAGGTGTGTGGTTTGTATCAAGCACCTTTTTATTTTTTCTCACCCAGAGAGGACTCTTACGTCACCAGTGACTGAGGAATAGTGTTTGAGAGGTGAAGTGACCACTTCCTCTTGGTCCCACTGTGGTTTTTTGTTTGTTTGTTTTATTGATTTCAGAGTAAGGGAGAGAGAGAGAGAGAAACAATGATGAAAGAGAGTCATGAATCGGCCACCTCCTGCATGCCGATTGAGCCCACAACCCAGGCATGTGCCTCTGACCAGAATCGAACTTGGGACCCTTCAGTCCGCAGGCCAACAATACTCTCTCCACTGAGCCGAACCAGCCAGGGTCCACTGTGTGTTTTTACATCATACCCTTGGGACTCTGGAGTGTCTCCTCGCCTTCTCTGCAGCCGCATGTCTGAGGAGATGGCCCTTCCTGCCGACTACGGGGACCTCTCCTCTGTGGGATGTCCTCCTCCCTAGAGGAGTGACTCTGGGTCAGGTGAGCTGGTTGGGAGCAAGAAGGGGTTGTTGTGTACGATGTGTTTTGGCCACAAGTAACAGAATCGGCCACCATCTGTTATCTGACATCGCGTGACGCCCAGAGACATGGCTTCCAGGGGTGGTTCCGGACTTTGACTGTCACCCTTCGCCAGGCACCCTCCGTCTGTTGGCTCAGTCCGCCTCACTGTTGCCTGGGTTATTCCTAAGGCTTGTGTCCTCATGGTCTCAAGTTGGTTGTCACAGTTCCAACCATCGCATAGGGCAGTGGTTCTCAACCTTCTGGCCCCTTTAAGTACAGTTCCTCATGTCGTGACCCAACCATAAAGTTATTTTCGTTGCTACCTCATAACTGTCATGTTGCTACTGTTATGAATCGTCATGTAAATATCTGATATGCAGGATGGTCTTAGGCGACCCCTGTGAAAGGGTCGTTCAACCGCCAAGGGGGTCATGACCCACAGGTTAAGAACCGCTGGCATGGAGCCATGCCATATTTGCCTTAAGTTACTGGCATAAGAGAGTGTATTTGTTTCCTTTGCCATTATACCAAATGACCACAAACTGTATGGCTTTAACAGAGCACATATTTATCACCTCACACCTCTGGAGGTTAGACATCCAAAATGGATCTTGCCAGCCCTAGCCGGATTGGCTCAGTGGATAGAGCATCAGCCTGCGGACTGAAGGGTCCCGGGTTTGATTCTGGTCAAGGGCACATGCTGGGTTGCAGGCTGGATCCCCAGTAGGGAGTGTGCAGAAGACAGCTGATCAGTGACACTCTCTCACCATTGATGTTTCTATCTCTCCCTCTCCCTTCCTCTCTGAAATCAATTAAAAAAAATGGATATTGGCAGGGCTGTGTCCCTTCTAGAGTCTTTAGGGAAAATTTGTTTCCTTGCCTTTTCCGGATTCTAGAGACCACCTGCATTGCATTCCTTGGCCTCTTTCTCCATCACCAAAGGCAGCAGTGTAGTATCTTAAGTGGTTCTCTCACTCTGACCTCTGATTCTGTCATCACATGGCCTTCTTTTAAAAATTAGTATTTATTTATTTATTTCACTCCTCACACAAGGATATGTTTAGTGGTTTGAGAGAAAGGGGAAAGGAGGGAAAGAGAAACATCAATGTGAGAGAAAAATCAATTGACTGCTTCCCGTATGCACCCCAAACAACGACTGAACCCACAATCTAGATACGTGCCTCTACCAGGAATTGAACCCACAACATTTTGGTGTATGGGACAGCACTCTAACCAACTGAGACGCCTGATCAAGGCATCACATTGTCTTCTTTGACTCTTCTGCCTATTTTAAAAATATATATATATTTATTTCAGAGAGAAAGGTAGAGGGAGAGGAAGATTGAAACATCAATGATGAGAGAGAATCATTGATTGGCTGCCTCCTGCACTCCTCCCATTGGGGATCGAGCCCACAATCCAGGCATGTGCCCTTGACCAGAATTGAACTTGGGATCCTAAAGTTCGCAGGCCAATGCTCTGTCCACTGAGCCAAACTTCTTCTTAAATAAGAGCCATTGTGCTCTGGCTGGGCACCTCAGTTGGTGAGAGCATCATGCACATACACCAAAGTTGTGGGTTCGATCCCTAGTCAGAGCACATGCAAGAATCAACCAATGAATGAATACAGAAGTAGAACAATAAGCCCTAGCTGGTTTGGCTCAGTGGATAGAGCATCGGCCTATGGACTAAAGGGTCCTGGGTTCGAGCCCAGTCAAAGGTACATGCCCGGATTTTGGGCTTCATCCTCAGTGGAGGGCATGCAGGAGGCAGCTGATCAATGATTCTCATCATTGATGTTTCTATCTCTCTCTCCCTGTCCCTCCCTCTCTGAAATCAATAAAAATGTATTTTAAAAAAATAACTAGAACAACAAATTGATGCTTCTCTCTCTGAAAAAAATCAATAAACAAAGAAAACAACAAGCAAAGGCAATTGTGATGACATTGGGCTCAGAAGTAATCCAGGATAATTTCCCTATCTCAAGATCCTTAATTACATCTATACGGTCTTTTTTTATCCTGTAAGAACTTCCCCTTCTCCCTTTCCCCAGAACACTTCCGATACCCATTGGGGCATCTGTGGGTCAGATTGCCTCCCAAACCCAGCTTTTTAGGGGATTTTGGTCAAAGCTTGTGAGGTCTGCATCATCCTTGGAGTATGAATACTTCACCAGGTTGTGGTGTGTCATTGCAGTCCTGACTGGACACTGGCGAGGCCCCTGGAAGAGTGAAAATGCACACCATTCTCTGTGATGCTTGTTTTAAAGTTAATAGCAGAACACCACCTGTGAAACGTTGGTGAGTTGCTGTAAAGCTCCGTGATTTGTTTGAAGGGACAGCTTTTGGATTATGCAGGAAAAACATGGGTGGTATGTTTTTCAGCTTGCTTCTCTGAATATCCTATAGAATGAAGAGCTAATATGCAAGTGGTTGTCATGCTGGAGCCAGGGGACCTGAGGCCGGGCTGGGGGACCTGAGGCCGGGCCCCCCCCCCCCTCCCGTGGGGCTTGACGGGGTGGGGCCGGCTGGGTCTGGGTCTCACGCAATATCGAGGCATGCGCAGGTGGGCAGGGACTTGACTCTGGGTCCCGTAGCACGCCCCAGACTCTGACAGAAGGGAGATTTTCATATACATTTTACTAATTTTCATCTCTGATACTTCTATTATAGAGAAAGGGCAAATAGCAATAGTAAAATATTTCCTTTAATTTTCTTTTAATGTGCATGAATTTTGTGCACCAGGCCACTAGTTCTATAAAGAGTGATCCCTGTGATACTAAAAGATGAATGATCTCTGCATGACACTTTAAATTGGGTGGTTCTCTGATTCATATATGATGTAAAAAAATAGATGCTGTCCTGGCCAGGTGGCTCTGTTGGTTACAGCGTTGTCCAAATACACCAAGGTTCCAGGTTCAATCCCCGGTCAGGGCATATATGAAACAACCAATGGATGCATAGATAAGTGGAACAACAAATTGATGTTTCTCTCTCTTAAAAAAAAAAAATCAATAAAGGGGGTCTCTTTCCACCTTCCCACGTGGGAGTCTATACTTGTTCTTCAATAAATTTCCACCTTTGCTATAAAAAGTCAATAAATAAAATATAGATGCTGTTGTCTTTAACATTTACATTTTGTTATCTAGGGCAGTCATTTCCATGAGACATTGTCATTCAGGTCTAGACTCTGAGTCCCATTGAATTGTGTTTCTAGGGTGAATCAAGGGCATATGTAGAGCATAACGGTTCATACCTGCTCATCCATGATTGCAGGGAGCCACAGCCACAGCTTTGTTATATTATATCCAACTATAGGCCCGGTGCACAAATTAGTGCATGGGTGGGGTCCCTTGGCCTGGCTGGCGATTGAGGCCTATTGGGGAACTGGCTGGCTGTGGGGAGGGACCTCAGGAGGTTAACTGGCCAGCCCCCCAATCGGGGCCTATTTGGCGGGG